TTTTTTTTTTTTTGCAGAACTAGGGATTGAACTCAGGCCCTTGTGCTTGCCAGGGAAGTGCTTATTCTACTGAGCCATCTCCCTGGCCCCTGTCATTTTTAAATAATAATAAAATATTTTATGGACAGAAAAACAGGAGAGCCACAACAGATATGCCAAAATGTTGGTGGTGTTGATTCTGGGTGATTTGTCTTTGGGGATTTCTTTTTTTTTAAATTATTTGTGTGTGTGTGTGTGTGTGTGTGTGTGTGTGGCCAGCTCAGCCCACCAGGGGGCGGGTCTGGCTGGCATGTGGTGCTGGGGGATTGAACCGCTGGTCCCTGTGCTTTGCTAAGCTTGTTCCAAGTAGGCGCTTTAGACCACTGAGCCACCTCACCAGCCCTGGGGATTTCTTTTGAATAGAGTCTTCTGGCTTCTGTGAACATTCTAGACTTTTCCACAAAGTCCTTCTAAAACAGGAAAGTTGTGAGACGAGGAAGGACAGGCCATCTGCTATAGTTTGGATGTGGTTTGTATCCAAAGGTTCCTGCGTGGGGATGTCAGTCATCGGACGGGCCGTGTTCAGAGGCTGTGGGACCTTTAAAAGGCGGGCACAAGTGGGAGGTGCCAGTGTTGGCCACACCCCCATGCTGACCTCTGACCTCTGTCTTTCCTGCTTTCCCTGCCATTGGGGTCCCATATCTCATGAGGTGTCAGGAGCGCTCACCACAAGAGGGGCTGTGCTGTTTGACTTACATGGTCCCAAACTGGGTTAAATAAACCCTTTCTTTACACATAGCCAAACCCAAGCTTTTCATTAAGTACCAAAAAATGGACTCAAAACACCATCGCACAGGGCGTTGTGGTGCATGCCTGTAATCCCAGCACTCGGGAGGCTGAGGCTGGAGGATGTTTGTGAGTTTGAGGTTACAAAGTGAGCGTAAGGCCAGCCCGAACTGCGCAGCAAGACCCTGGCTCAAAGAGACAAGAAAGAGAAATAAAACACCAAACACCGTTGCTTAGGTATTTGAGCTACAGCCATTGCCGGCTGGTGTCAGAAATAAAACCAAGGAGAAGAGAGTCAGGTTGGGCACGTAGTTCTTGATTTATTATTGTTATTATTACCAATCCCCCTTCCAGAAACTGTAAGTGCCACAAGAGAAATAAAAATGAGAGCCAATCTCCAGCAGCCAGGTGGGCTCCAGTGCGTCGTCCTTCCAAAGCCTGCATGTTAGCCCAGCTTGATGAACAGCAGCAAGGTGGCAAGAACGCCTGGCAACTGCCGTGGGAGAGAAGGAACACAGCCATAAAAGGTGAATCAATTTTGGGCCCGGGAGATGGATCAGTGGAATAAGCGCTTCCCTGGGAAGAGCAAGGGCCTGAGTTCAATCCCCGGTTCCACCAAAAAAAAAAAAAAAAAAAGCTAAATCAAGCCTCCCTGCATGCCTGAGTCCTGAAGACATTTCCCAGCATCCTCTGCCTGCCTATTTCCTGTTATGTTTGGCCAATAGGAAGCCTAGATCCTTGGACTTCCTGTGAGGCTTGACCAATAGGAATCACCAATAGGTGATATGGGCAGATGGAAAGCAGATGTTGGGTTACTTCCTTACACTCCCTCCCTTGTGCCCCTCAATTTCCATACCCACAGTTGTGAGAAAATGGCACCTTCTAGTTTTTTGGGGGGATTTGTTCTGCTTAGTTTTTTGCATTTTAGGGAAGGGTATACATGGTGTTCACGGTCTTGCTACTAGAACAGACTTGTAGTAATCCACCTGTTTACAGCCTCCCAAGAGCTGGGATTACAGGCACGTGCCACCATGCCCAGTCTTAATTGCTGGCCGGCATGGCAGGCCCAGTGACCGAACCCCGGTCCTTGCAGGTGCTTGGCCAGCCCTTTCTAGTTTCTTGTTGATCATCTGCTTAGCTGTTCTATTATTGAGATTGGGGTATTCAACTCCCTAACAGTTATCGTTGGATTGTCCATCCTCCTTACAATTCCATCAGCTTTTTTTTTCTCATTTATTTTGTATTTTTTTCTCCCCTATTTGTGTGTGCGTGTGTGCGTGTGTGTGTGTGTGCGTGTGTGTGTGGCCTGCTCAGCCCGTCCTGGGGGCGGGGCTGGTGCAGTACACAGTGCTGAGGTGGAAATGTGGTCCCACAGCTTTGTCTTTAGACCTCTGAGCTATCTTGCCGGCCCTCTATTTTGAGTTTTATTTTAACATATTTGTTTATGCTTCTTTACATTTTACATTTGTGTGTTGTGTTTTTGTCTTTGGTCTTGTTTGTTTGTGGCAGCGTCTGGCTGCATACTTCAGGCTGTCCTCGCACTCACCACATTGCCTCATCTGGCCTCAAACTCCGCAGTCGTCCTGCCTCAGCCTCCCGAGTGCCGGGATTACAGATATCCTCCACCAGACCTGGTTTGTTTCCATCTTACATTGCTCGGTGTATACTATACATTTATTATTGCTTTGGCTTCTTGATGCGCTCGCTGATGCAGTCATCACTGTAAAGTGTCCTTCTTTGTCTCTAGTTTGGTCTACTAATGAACATTTGGTCTACTGTTCATTCAGGGACTACTGCTTCCTGTTGGCTGCTGCTTGACACATCATATCTTTCCCCCTCCTTTTACATTTTAGTTTATTTGTCTTTTTGAATCTAATGTGTGCTTCTTGTAGATTGAATACTGTTCAGTCATGGTTTTCAATCCACCCTTTGATCTCTGGCTTTTCTCTAATATTTTAGTCTCTTTACATTTAGTGTAGTGGCGGAAGGAGTAGGAGATAGGTCTTCCATTTTGCTACTTGTGTTTATGTTGAGATCCTGTCCTTTCCTGCTGGACACCTTTTATATCTGTTTGTGTACCATTTTTTTTTTTTTTAGTTGTTGTTTGTGTTGTTTTTTTTTCAGAACCAGAGTTTGAACTCAGGCCCTTGCATTTGCCAGGGAAGCGCTTATTCCACTGAGCCATCTCCCCAGCGCCCATTTTATTTCTCTTATTTTACCATATTTTAAGAAAAACAGCCTGGAAGCTGAGGCAGGAAGTAGGAGGATTACTGCAAGTTCAAGGCCAGCCTGGGTTATATATAGTGAGTTCTAGGCCAGCCTCGGCTATGTAGTTGAGTCCCTGTCTCAAAAAGTAAAAAATAGGGCCAGCCAAATAGCTCAGTGGAGGCCAGGGAGATGACTCAGTGGAATAAGCGCTTCCCTAGGAAGCGCAAGGGCCTGAGTTCAATCCCTGGTTCCGCCAAAAAAAAAAAAAAAAAAAAAAAAACAACCCAAATAGCTCAGTGGAATAAAGTGCCTGCTTAGGCAGAGCAGGGGCTGAGAGGTCGATGCCTGCCCCATCCCCCACCCCCATGCCAGCCCCACCCCCGGGGTGCACTAAAATGGCATTAGAGACTGGGCATGGTGGTGTGCACCTGTAATCCTAGCTCTTGGAAGGCTGTAAACAGGCGGATTACTATGAGTTCCATCTAGTACTGAGAACCTGAACACCCTGTCCTAAAAAATAAATAAATAAATAAATAAGTAAAAAAATAAAATAATTACTTTTCAGTGGTAGCCTTAGGGATTACAATTCAAAAATAAATATCTTTTTTAAAAATGTATTTGGTACAGGGTCTCACTATGCAGCTTGGACTCATAGTGATCCACCTGTTTTCATCCTCCCCAGCACTGGGATTACAAGCGTGTGCCACCATGCCCAGACTCGGTGGTCAGCTCAGTGCAACTGGGGTTCCGGGGCCAGCTTGACGTGTGGTACCAGGGATCGAACTCGGGTCCTTGGGCTTGCCAGGCTGGCACTTAGACCAATGAGCTATCTCCCTAACCCAACTCCACAGGTTTTTTAATGAAACAGCAGCCAGGGTGCCAAAGGGGCTGCAGCTCACCTGCATCGTCGCTGTCCCCAGGGAGACCCAGCTCAGGACATAGCTCTGCGCCTTGGTGATTTTCAGGAGCTTGCGGAAGCAGCCCTGGGGGTGCAGACAGCAAGACAGGAGGAGCTGTCGCGCCCACCCCTTGGCCATGCCCCCAGCAACTCCCAGGAGACTCCCCTCCCAGCCAGAGCACAAAGTTCACCGCTTCCTTCCACCACACTGAGCTCCACAGTCCCACATACTAGCTAGGCTACCTGGTGACCCTGGAGAAGCCACCCCGCCTCTCTGGATCTCTGCTGACCTGGCTGGAAATGGGACCAACGAGCCTGGCAGGTGGCACAGGCCTACCATCCCAGAAGAGAGCTGCTGCCCATCTTCCAGATGTGAATGGCTTTGTAATTTTATTATTTTGTTTGTACATAGCCAGGGTCTCACTATGTGGCCCAGGCTGGCAGCAATCTTCCCGCCTCAGCCTCCTAAGTGCCACGCACACAGCTATGGACAGAAACTTCTGAGATGTCAGCCAAAACAAACCTTCTCTCTCTTTTTTTCTTTTTTTCTTTTTTTTTTTTTTTGGCGGAACCAGGGATTGAACTCAGACCCTTGCGCTTGCCAGGGAAGCACTTATTCCACTGAGCCATCTCCCCGGCCCCACCTTCTCTCTTTTTAAACAGATGACAGCACATATTTGTCACAGTAACAGAAAGCTGATTCACGCTCTCGCTCTCGTAAGGAGACATCAGCAAAGGAGCTGAACTAGAGCTGCCGTCTCTCTTCCTCAGGTGCCTTTGCTGCGCTCCCCAAACGAGCAACTTTCTAGAAAAATCACCAAAACCTCCAGTTACCTCCTGGTGAATGACGCTGGAGGTCACGTTGTGTCCGTCACAGGCCACAGTGCCCAGAGACTTACAGCAGCTCCTGGGGTAGCTGTAACCGGATGCCATCGAGAAGGAAGAGCCAGGAAAATCCGTGTAGTTGTTCACTCCACAGCACTTTAGCTGACAGAGAATAAACAGGGAGAGCGGCTTTAAAAATAATACTAAAAACAGAAATAGCACAATTAAACATAAGAACAGAAGGCCAGTGAGATAGTTCAGTGGACTAAAGCACTTGCTTAGGCAAGATTAGACAAGCGCAGGGGCTACAGTTGGATCCCTGGCACCACATTCTGGGTGAGCCCCGCCCACAGGGTGCACTGAGCCACCGAGTCTGGGCATGGTGGCGCACGCCTGTAATTCCAGCTCTGGGGAGGCTGAAACAGGAGGATCACTACAAGTCCAAGCTGCATAGTGAGATCTTGTACAAAAAAAAAAAAAAAAAAAAAAACATGAGAAATAATGGTTGCCATGGCTACTAGGCTAACCTCCTCAGACATCATCTGATGGGGGGCCTGGTGGTACATACACACCCGTCTTCCCAGCAACACTTGGATGGCTGAAACAGGAAGATCCCTGTGAATTTGAGATCAGCCTAGACTACACAGAGAATTCAAGGCCAACCTGAAATTCATTGCGAGACCTTGTGTCAAAAAACAGCAAAAACATCAAACCTTCCATGATGGGGCCAGGGAGATGGCTCAGTGGAATAAATGTTTCCCTGGCAAGCCCAAGGGCCTGAGTTCAATTCCCGGTTCAGAAAAAAAACAAAACAAAAAAAACCTTCCATGGCTCTCAAGCTATTTAACAGAAAAGCTGAGCTCCCCGACGTGACCCCTAAGCCCCCCACAGTCTGCCTGGCTCCTGCCCTGGCCTCCCCCCAGTGCTCCCCACTGTTCCTCCAGCTCCAGCCACACCAGTGTCTTCACTGTTCTGCTGAGTGGTGTGAGCCTCGGGGCCCTTGCACAACTTGCTCCTGCTTTTGGAAACGCTCTTCCCTCCCTGTCTGCCTGGCCCGCTCTCTACCCCGACCCAGGTCTCTCTCCAAGTTCCCTCTTCAGGAAGGCCTGTGCTGACCCCTCCTGAAATTACCCACAACCCCTGAAATCAGCCAGGCAAATGAAGTCATTTTTTTTTTGTTTTCATTTGTTTTGTAGAACTGAGGGTGGAACCCAGGGACTTCACTTAGTGCTACGGCCCTATTCTTTCATTCATTCATTCAGAGACAGGTCCTGCTCAGTTGTCTAGGAAGGGCTTGCGCCTGTGGTGCTCCTGCCTCAGCCTCCCAGGGTGCCAGGGTCACTGGCGTTGAGCACCACGCCTGGCTCCTCCTGTGTACGAGCTCTAGATTCTTTAAATCATCTCTTCTCATTGTGTCTTCATTACACTGTATTACAGTTCACAGATAGTGACTTTCTTCAAATTGAACATTTATAGCAATCTTACACCAATCAAACTTATGGACTCCAGTTTTTGTTTCCTTTTTTTTTTTTTTTTTTTTTTTTT